CCTTTTCCGAAGAGTCTTATCTTTTCACCATATCACTTCAGCTATTCAATATATTATATTACCTATATTGCGAGGCAAGGCTCGGGTAATTGCACAGAAGACGGAAAGATGATCTCTGGGTCGAGGAAATGTATACAGGCGTAAACAATTAGCTGAGTAACGACGACAAACCGGTTGCTGGGGGAGGCATTGATTAATGTAAGTAAGAAATAGAAAAGCGGGCGCGATTTAACGAGATTGCCGTCGGCTAGCACAGAAACCACTTCAGTGACAGGAGGCCCGGTTTTTATAAAGGCCTGTTTCGACGAGTATTGTAAAACACAGCCCAGCAGTACTTTTCAGGCACATAGAAAAGTACAGCATAGTATAGACAAGCAAAAATGCCCACCTTAATGTAGGAGCAGAGACCATCGCCCTTGTTTTTGCCCTCGGCGTCCTTGTACAGCTTCACACGCAACTTCTCTGTCAGTGGATCGTTCATGATCATACCGCATTTGGACATTAGTTCAACGAAACCGGACTCTGTGATGCTGGGCGGCAGGCCGGAGACGTAGACATGGGTGTTCTTCTCGTCTTCTATCTGTAGACGGTTGGAGGATTAGCAGGAGAGACAGTATTGGCGGTGAGAGAGTGGGAAAGACTACTATGGCAGTAAATAACGTATTTTCGTAACATTTATACCCAAAGAAAGGGTACCTTACATTTTTTAAAAAGTTTATTTGGCAAAACTGTCTTTTAGAGCCGCCTAAATATCTATTCCCCGCCAAGCTGTCTTACAAAGTCGAGTATTAAACATTTAATTCTTGGTTAACGAATGTAAATGAATATTTAATTGTGTTCAAATAATATTAAATTAAAGCGACTTATAATTGTTTTAATGAGCTACATATAATCAATTTCATCATCACAAAGTCCTGTTGCTCTGGTAACTGATGCTTACTGATAGAAATTTGACGTTACATTGGCGGATTTTAACGAAAAAGGAAGTCTTCCCACCGAAAATGCAAAAGCAATTTATTATGTCAAGGGCCAATAGGGCCTCTAAAGACAGTCCTACCGTTTATTTCAATACAAGAATAAATTTTAACTCCAGCTGGCGTTATGCGTACGTGTAGACTCCCTACAGTGCATGTTGTAAACTTTGAACTGAAGAAAAATCCTACAGTTCTTTGTGCAATTAAAAAGGTGCCATCGAACGTGCACACACTTCGCAAAGATATGGAAAACGTGGTATGCTTCAAAAGGACTGTTGATAAACAATTTTAACTTAAAAAAGCGAACGACTTAAAAGGCCTGCTAATTAAAAGCCTTTCAAGCTGATTAAAACATAAAAATCCTTGGTGTAGACGCGATTTACTAGAAGTGAGTAAAGCAAATGAATGTTTTTTGTGCACACATTTTGTAAAAAGCTTGATTTTTCCTAATGAATTGAAAATAAACGGGAAAAACTATATCCTGTTACGTAAGTAACCATTTTTAGGGGGTTGCTTTATTCGAGCAGACGAAAACACGCGCATTCAAAAACCGGAACCTAAGTATGCTGCATGCTAAGCCATACTACAATCTCACCTTGTAGTAGTAGTCGTCGTAATGGTAGTAGTAATAGTAGTGGTTCAGTATTAGTAGGAGTGATAGTAGTACCTTCTCAATGACATTGCATTTTTGTACTTCATTGATGTCCTCTACTGCACATGAATCTAGCGCATACTTAAAAGAACAAACACTGAATCATCTGCTGCAACAGCACTCGCCTCATACCACTCCGGTGGAGCATTCTTCTTGCGCTTGCGTGGTGGAGCTGCAGCAGTCGCCTCAACACC